TGTGTGTGTGTGTGTGTGTGTGTGTGTGTGTGTGTGTGTGTGTGTGTGTGTGTGTGTGTGAACACACCTGAGAGAGACACCTGCTCAGACTGCAGCACACCTGTATCTGATGCGTCAGGCTTTTATGGCTCATACAGTGAGAATATGGAGGGGGAAAACAGCTCATTTTTATTCAGAAAATACGCAATTTTCTGCAGATAATGATAGTTATATGGATACAACGTAAAGGGGAGAGACTAACACACCTGTGAAGAGATGTGAAGGTGTGTGAGCACACGTCTCTGGATGTTCTGCTGTGATCCCCCTCAGTGCCACACACACACACACACACACACTCTCTCTCTCTCTCTCACACACACACACACACACACGTCTGGTTTGCTATCCTTGTGGGGACTCTCCATAGGTGTAATGGTTTTTATACTGTACAGACCGTATATTCTATTGCCCTACACCAACCCTACCCCTAAACCTACCCCTCACAGGAGACTTTCTGCTATTTCAGATTTTCAATACACTCCATTCTGTGTGATTTATAAGCGTTTGTACCCGTGGGGATCACAATTTAGGTCCCCACCGTGACACGAGTCCCCATGAGTCTGTGTGTAGTCAGGTTTAAGCACCCACCAGAATAAATAAACCAGTACACACACACTCTCTCTCTCTCTCACACACACACACACACTGAACCACTTCAAAGCGGAAGTCAGTGAATAGAAGTGTGTGCGTGAGCTGTTAAACACTAACCTCATCCTGACACACTCCTTCATTTCTAAGCATTCTCATATCTCTCTTCTCCATCTGCTCTCCTCTCAGAAACACCATCTTCAGCTTGTGAATACAGTTTCTTCCGCCAGACAATCTACCTTATGAGCGGTTACATGTCTGGGACAATCTGAAATCTGAGGGTGCAAAAAAATCTAAATATTGAGAAAATCATCTTTAAAGTTGTCCAAATGAAGTTCTTAGCAATGCATATTACTAATCAAACATTAAGTTTTGATATATTTACGGTAGGACATTTACAGAATGTCTTCATGGAACATGATCTTTACTTAATATCCTAATGATTTTTGGCATAAAAGAGAAATGTATAATTGTGACCCATACAATGTATTGTTGGCTATTGCTACAAATATCCCCCAGCGCCTCAACACTGCTTTTGTGCTCCAGGCTCACAAATATATTTGTTACCACCCCACATTCTAGCACATCTTACTCTATCTATAGCACAACTGTACATACAATTTATTTTTGTTATATATATATATATATTTACACGTGCATTTTTATCCTCATCTTCTTTATTATATTGTCTGTGTTGTCGTCTCAGTGCACTGGAAGCCTGACACTGAAACAGATTCCCTGTATGTGCAAGCATTAAAGCTCTTTCTGAGTCGGACTCTTAACCTGCTCGTGCAGCAGCCAGCATGAAGTGACACATGCTTGATAACGGCAGCAT